AGCACTGCACCACACTGTTCTCCTGTTGTTCTTTGATTTACTCCAGTGGGCACCAGTTATGTCTCCATTGTGAGACTTGTTGCTACTGTTTTTGGTGTATTGAATACGACATGGGGAGCTTGCGGGTGGGATACTCTCGGTAGCTTGTCGGGCTCTCCAAGAGGAACGGGAGGAATTGAACTTGGATCTGCTGCATGCAAAGCAAATGCCCTACCTGCTGTTCTATCGCTCCAGCCAGGGTTATAAACAGATTAAAAATCTGCTGGAGGGGCTTGGAGTGATAGCACAGCGGTAGTGCGTTTGCCTTGCACGCAACTGACCCTGGTTCGATTCCCAGCATCTCATATGGTCCCCTGAGCACTGCCAGGAGTAATTCCTGACTGCAAAGCCAGGAGTAAACCCTGTGCATTGCCAGGTGTGACCAAAAAGAAAAAAAAAATCTGCTGGAGAAGCCAAAGAGATAGTACAGGGGTTAAGGTGCTTGTGTTTGCCTTGCCTGCAGCTGCCCTCGATGCAGTCTGGAAACCACGTGCTCCCCTGAGCATCACTGGGATTGATCCTGAGTTTAGATCCAGGGGTGTGGCCCAGCCCAGCCCCCCAAAACCCACTGAATAGGCAAACTGAAGGAGGTAGTGGAAATCAAATTCTGGGCTAGAGTGCCAAATTTTCTTTGGGAAACAGAGTCTGACTGAAGTTCTGAGTGAGAGTGACATCACAGAAATCCTAAGAAGAGTTTATCCGACATTAGCCCTAAACAGACTGATCAGCATGTGAGTAAGAAAGGGAGTTAGGAGATGCAGACTGAAGAAAGCGCATTAAGGGATCTGAATTCCTCAGACCTGGAACACAACAATGGTAGAACAAGAGAACTTCAGAGTGTGACCCCCTGAGGTCAAATCTCTGCTCTACCACTTACCGAGGAAAATACCAGAAGCCCGGATCAGAGAGAGAGCAGTCAATGGGCTGGGTGCAAGCTTTGTGTGCCAGAATCTTGGCTCAATCCCTGGGCACTGTGGCAACAAACCAAAAGTAAAACATAACAAAATAAAATTTAATTTTCAAAAGGCCAGAAACAATTTTTCTGCTCTCTTTGGTCCAGTTTCCTCTTTCATGAAAGTGGCTGAGTCTTTTTCCTCAGTGGGTAGCAGTAATGCTGAAATTAATATGGTGGGTTTCAACCTTTTTATACCTGCATCCTGGAGAAAAGAGGAGGACCATTTTGCACACAACCAAAGCAGAAACAAACATTATTTATAGTAAGAATGTTTATAAGAGAGTAGCATAGCACGTAAGGCACATGTGTGGCACACAGCTGACCTGAGTTTGATCCCTGGCACTGCATACAGTCCCCTAAGCACCACAGGAGTGATCTCTGAGCTCATTGCCGGAAGTAAGTCCTGAGAACTGCCAGTTGTGAAGCCATAACCAAAACCAAACCAGTAACTGGGGCTGGATGATAGTACAGCAGGTAGGGCATTTGCTTAGCACATGGTCGACCGGCGTTTAATCCCTGGAGTAATTCCTGAGTACAGAACAAGGAAGAACCCCTGAGCATCACCAGGTATGACCCAAAAAAGAAAAAAAAAAGTTTATCACCAGATGCTCAGGTGCTGTCCCTCATTTGGGGAGTACAGGGAAACAAAGCAAGGCATTAAACACGCCCCAGTAGCATCCCCAGAAAAAGGACAACAGAGATGTGACTTAGGGGCTGGTGGAGTAGAGGAAAGAGAGCCCCAGGCACTCAGAGGTGGGCCTGGTGCAGCAGCTCTGCACATAAATGACACCGGTCCTGTTTTTTTTTTTAAAAATCATTATAAAAATAAAAATGCTGGTATGTGATCTATACATGCATTTATAACAAGATTATTTATCAATATTTATAGTCATACCATCCCATGATCCAGACATGCCATGTGTTCAGTGGTAATAACTTTTCTGGCATACCTGCAATAAATTTCTGTGAACTGGCACTGGTCTGCTCTCTGTGGTTGGAAACCACCGAGTTAACATTGAAAACCACGAAGTGAGCCAACATAAAATAGTCACTGTGACTTGTGCATTGCTAGCCCAGGTGTTAGCTGTCAACAGCAGTAAAGCATTTACATCAATACCCCCAAAAATACCTATAGTAAAAGAGGTGCTTCATACATATTTTTTAATTAACTAATGCAGCAACAATGTATGCAAGAGAGAAGGCAGTGACTGCGGCAAACATTATAGATCATTTTGAAAGAGATTTGTGAAATCTAGTGGCATTCAGGACGAAGAAAGTAAGTAAAAAATGATAATGTTGAGGCCATCATCTGTACTACCCAAAGTGATAGTACAGTGGGTAGGGCATTTGCCTTGCATGCAGCTGACCTGGGTTTCATCCCCAGCATCCCATATGGTCCACCAAGCACCACCAGGAGTAATTCCTGAGTGCAGAGCCAGGAGTAATCCTTGAGCATCACTGGATGAAAAAAATGATGATGTTGCTTCAGGTTCAAATAAGTCAGAATTTTAGTAAGTTTAATACAATTTTTTAAGTTGAAATGAAATCTGGTTTAGAAAAAGAAGAAATATGAAACAATTTAAATAAACTAAATGGCAAAGGGGATATTATTTCTCTGCCTTCTAAGTAATGCTAACAATGCACTGACTCTATCAGTTGCCAAAAGTAGGATTTCAAAATTAAGATTTCAAAATTTTAGATGTTTAAAAGAAAAAATACTTATGCATACACATACAATGGTGCCTGACATCTTTATTTTATTTTATTTTTGAAGTAACTTGATAACCCTGTGACTTGATGGACTGGAATTGCATATCATCAATGAAAAGACCTCTTTGTGAATGCAGAATAGAGATGCAATTTCAATTTTGGCAGGAACCTTTCATTTCTAAAACTGTAGAAAGGTATTTTTAAAGGCATTTATTTTATATTCAAAAATAACTTCTTTATAAGCAATTTACCTGATAAAATAATTATTGTCAATACAATCAAATCTTTTATAACTTTATTTTTTGACTACTGCGTTCCTGAGCAGTGCTTGGCAGGCCCCCCAGTAGCCAATCCTAGCGATACTTAGCCCAGCTTTGCATTCCAGATAGCTCGGTGTTCAGGCAAGAAATGCGATGCTGCTTGGCTGACTGTTGTGGTGCAGGGGGACACCTGGATCACCCCAATAGCAATCAGGCGTCAAGAAGGCCAGGGTGGCAAACAGTGTTAAGAACTAAACTCAGGGCCTTGCATATGCAGAGTATATGCTCTGTCTACCATTTAACTATATCTTTGCCTCATTACTATTCTTTTTTTTTCTTTTTGGGGTCACACCCAGCAATGCTCACGGGTTACTCCTGACTCTGCACTCAGGAATTACTCCTGGCAGCGCATGGGGGACCATATGGGATGCCAGGGATCGGCCGTGTGGAAGGCAAATGCCCTACCCGCTGTACTATCGCTCCGGCCCCCTCGAAACTATTCTTATTCTTTTATTTCATCCTATTTGTTTTGGGGCCACTTCCGGATATACTTAGGGCTTACTCCGATTCTTAGCTCAAGGAATGATCCTGCCAGGAATGGTCTCACATGTCAAAACAAATACCCTACCTGCTGTACTATCACTCTAGCCACTGTAAACTGGTTTTCAGGTTTGGACCACAACTACCTCAAGAAGTAGCTAGAGGCTACTTCTAGCACCTTGCCTGGGATCACTTCTGGTGGTGCGAAGGACACTATACAGTGCTGGGGATCAAACCCGGACCTCCTACATGCAAGCAAGTGCCTGGCCCTTTGAGCTATCTCCCCATTCTCCTGCCCAGCTATGAACCATGAAACATTTTCTAAAGGGCTGGTGTTTCAAATATTGTTCCATAGACTGTGGCGTCTTGAAACTAGCTCAAGCCTACAGGTCCCAAACATTGATTACAATCTTGGAGTCTGCTATAATACTGGTGACAGTGTTAAGGCAATGGAACTTAAACAAAATGTCCCTGTACAACCTTTACACTCCTGATAAGTACCATACATCAATATCAACCCCTGCCCCTACCAATGCACTAGCTAGCTCGCAATGAAAGGGAAACTTACTGTTTCAGAAGTCTAACATCAAAATAGTCAAATATGCAGATTTCAAAGTGTATTTAAATAGAGTATATATATATGCATATATATCTTAATAAAGACAAGCGATTTCATGAATGGAAATTACTTTGGACTGAGCAGCCTTCCTGCATTAACATATACCTCAGAGACCTGGGCCCTACGCAAGCAGGATGAGAACGCTATTCAGGTCTCCCAAAGAAGAATAGAAAGAGCTATGCTTGGAATATCACGTTTCACTCAAATGAGAGAAAGAATCTGGAGTTCTGACATCCATCGACGATCAAGAATCAGGGACGCTGTCTCATTTGCCAAGGTGTCAAAAATCAGATGGGCTGGTCACGTAATGAGACTTAAAGACAACCGCTGGACTAGAGCTGTTACCAACTGGATTCCACGGGGATGTCAAAAGACCGCGTGGCCGCCCACCTACCAGATGGTCAGACTTCTTCATCAAGATCATGAACGATCGGTTTGAGGCTCTTCATGTTCCCAGAGCGAACAGATGCCATTGGGCTACACTAGCACGCGACAGGGACAAATGGAGACGTTACTGGCGCCTGCTCGAGCAAATCGACGACTAACGGGAAGTTAAGTGATTAAGTGAAGTGAGCAGCCTTCACTACCCTATGTCCTCATTTGGATATTGAAACCTTTCTCCATGCCCCAATGCTGATCTATGATTTATTTATATTGACAGAACCCCTGAAGAGATGACCTCCTAATCCCTTACTAAAACAAGGCTATCCTAGAACTGAACTTCAAACTACCATTTCCTTCAGAGTCAACACAATTTTATAGGCTTAGGACTTTGAGTGTGGACTTTTCAGAGCAAAAGTAAAGTGGTAGAACTCATGAAAGCAGTTTCATCCAGGGGGGGGACAAGAAAACTGATCCAACTGGACATAGACATTACCTGTGTAGTGACCATGATGATCTTCAAAATCTGCAAACCCAGCTTCCACGGAATTTGGTGCCTGGCTCGGTACTTTTCACAAGGGTTCATGAAGTAGAATTGCAGGTCTTCCCGCAAACATTTCTCTTTTGCCTCAGAATCAAGATGAGCCATTGCATTTCTGCCACAAAAGATTTAATTTTAAATACTCAGAGCACTATTCTCCAGGAAAAAAATCATACACACACACACACACACACACACACACACACACACACACGCACACACACACCTTCAACCAATATACTCTTCTTCCCTTTAGAAATATGAACCAATGGGAGGTAGTTCACATGGCAGAGCACTTTCCTGACATGTATGAGTGAGACAAGGACTGCATGCCCTCGGCAGACCCCCAACCTATGGAAATGGTTCCAGAGTCCCTTGAGCACTGCTAGGGGAAGTCCTACTTTAAAAAAAACAGGAGAATAGAAATCTGATAATTATTCAGGACCCTCTGTGACTGGCTTTTCCATATCTTATTTAAAATAACCATTCTCAGAGCTGGAGAAACAATGGATATGGTGCTTGCCTTGCGTGCCGCCAACACCAATTCAATCCTCCATACCACATACAGTCCTCTGAGCATCACCAAGAGTGACCCCAGTTCCTTGGTAGGAGGAAAGGATATTAAATACAACTATGTAACCGGATATCTTATTCCTGAAAGAAAATGCAATGATGCAGGGGGAAAAAATAGCGCACAGAGAAGGAAAGTAAAATAATGAGAAAAAAATATCTGAAAGGGCTTCCTCAATTTTACACATACTTAACTTCCTCTAGTATTGAGATGAGGTTAGGTGTTTAGTGTAAAGTTGTGAAAACTACAATTACAACTTCATTAGAAAGAATTAAGTTTGCAAGAGAACGACCATAACATGCATCAGAAATGATGAGAATCACCAATAGGTTTAGAAAAGAAAAGAACTGTTAGCTAGTGGGAACAACTTAGAGGAAATGGAAGTGGCCATTCTGTAAAACAGCTAGGAAGTCACTGCGGGTCCCACTCGCCACAGCAGGGCAACTGGGCAGCTGAGATTTCAGGAAACAGGAACAATCGAGAATTAGTTAGGAATTATTCATGTTCCAAAACACTATATAAAATACATGATCTGGAACGATAAAAGCTTACTAAATGGCACCATTAAAGGCCAAAGTATAGATGGAGAACAGTATCCATAAGCATGAAAACAAGCTCTAGGATAGAACTGAAAATCACCAGATCTAAAACACAAACTAACAACCTAAACAAAAGCTAGAGATGCTGGAGTGAAAAAAAAAAAAAACAGAAACAGGACTTACAAGAAAACGTCTTTCACTGGGACTCCTCTGGGAAGTTAGGGAGAAAGCTGTTGGAGCCACATTCAGTTATTAAGAACACTTTCACTTTCCCACCTAATAATAACAGTGTCAGCTAATTTTAAAGTTATCACATGCCCAGGGGCTAGAGCAATAACACAGTGGGTAGGGTGTTTGCCTTGCACCAAGCTGACCCAGGTTCAATTCCCAGCATCCCATGTGGTCCCTTGAGAACCTCCAGGGGGTAATTCCTAGGTGCAGAACCAGGAGTAACCCCTGTGCATCGTCAGGTGTGACCCAAAAAGCAAATAAAAAAAAAGTTATCACACGCCGCATGCCCACGGGTAATATCGGCATTATCAGATCAATGACTGAGTCTAGAAGTTTGAATATTGGGGGCTGGGGTGGGGGGACGGAGGGAGGAAGAAAAACTAGAGAAGTTCCCAGCTATTCTTAACCTCACTGGGGTAATATACCCTAGTGAGAACCTGAGGAAGACTCTTGCTTGATCGTGGCTGCAGGAAAGGGCACAAACTAGTCTCGATGATGATATCATGTTTTTATTAGCACTGTCTGCTGAGTGAACAAACTAAGCAGCTCAGGCTATTGTCTTTCAGCTTGTAAAACCCTTTCCGTACTCGGGAGTTCTGAAAGTCTGCGCTCTCTAACATGGGGTGCACGCACACACACAAGATCATTCACTGGTATTTGAAAGCACAGAGCCAGGGCTTCTAACTATATTCTAACCTAGTAAAAGACAGGATTTCATATTTACTATAATTTTTGTTTGTGGAGTGGGTTTGTTTTTAGGAAGGGAGGGGCGTTTGTCCACATCTGGTGGTACTCGAGGGATCATATGAGTATGGGGAATTTCATCCAGGGTGGCTGCAAGCAAAGCAAGCATGCTGGGGCTGGAGCGATAGTACAGCAGGTAGGGCGTTTGCCTTGCACGCGGCCAACTCGGGTTTGATTTCCAGCGTCCCATATGGTTCCCTGAGCACCGCCACGAGTAATTCCTGAGTGCAAAGCCAGGAGAAACCCCTGTGCATTGCCGAGTATGACCCAAAAAGCCAAAAAAAAAAAAAAAAAAGCAAGCATCCTACCTCTTCAACTATTTTTCAGCTGAGATTCATAAGTTTTAATGTATGAATTATTGTATATCACAAGGTGTCCTTACTAGATTGGAACACAATGTGTTTCTCTCTCTTAAATATGACAACACATCCAGAGGGATAAGTTAGCTTCCCAAGTAGAGGGTTGATGATGAACCTTGATTGTTTCAGCATATTTCCACCATTTGGGGTTCATGTGGGTCCCTTTAAGCATTTTATTTAAAAAGTTCAAATAAAAACTAATTTTGGGAGTATTTATCCAGCTTAGTAAACTTTTGAAATAAGGGTAAGGAACAGGAAAACTGTTGAAAAAAAACTTAGATTCTTTATGAAACAAATGTAAGCCCACATCACTAGCACTACCCTAATAGAAACTTCATTAGCCATGAACTTTATAAGATAAAAAGTGAGTTGCTTGCACCCAGGTTCAATCCCTGGCACTCTGAGCCCTGCCAGGAGTGGTCCCCGAGTACAGAGCCAGGAGCAAGCTCTGAGCACTGTTGTGTGTGCCCTCCCCCCAAAAACCAACAATCACTATTTGCTTGAGCGGGCCCAGTAATGTCTCCTTGTGTGAGACTTGTTGTTACTGTGTTTTGGCATATTGACTATGTCATGGGTAGTTTGCCAGGTTTGGCCATGCGGGCACGATACTCTCAGTAGTTTGCCAGGCTCTCCAAGAGGGGCGTAGGAATCAAACATGGTTTGAACTGGCAGGCCACGTGCAAGGCAAACACCCTACCGCTGTGCTACCACTCCAGCCCACAATACAAAAAAAAGATAAAAAGTGAGTCTTATCTGAAAATAAATAGGGGAAAACAGATTTATCAAGTAAACTGTAGAATAGTGGCTAAATATTGATTAAAACTACTACTATTCCATGATGAAACTGGCCTTAGTGTGTGTCTTTATATATAAATATATATGGATATATATAAAAATATTAACCAGTGATAATATGAAATCTGGCAGGCTACTGAATGTAACCTGCCCACACGGCAGAGTCTGGCAAACTCCCCGTGGCGTACCCAATATGCCAAATACCAGTAACAATGAAGGGTCTCATTCTCCTAACTCTGAAAGAGCCTTGAATATGGCACTTTTTTAAAAAAAATCTCAGGGCTAGGACGAAGGGCCTGCTCGAGGCAATCGACGAATAACAGGATGGATTGTGAATATGAAATCAAAAGTCACTAAACTTAGCAATTCACTTTATTATCCTTATCTATTCATCCCCTAACAGGAGTGGGGAACCTTTTTTCTACCAAGGACCATTTGGATATTTAAAATATCACTCACAGCGCCTGCCCTCTAAGAGCTCCAGCAGTCGCCATTTTCTAGAAGCCAGCAAGAAGCACCAGCTCCCACATGGCCACAATCCAGAGACACACACAGGAATCTCAGACCCGAGCAACTTGCGGCAGTGATTTCTTCAGACCCTAATTATTAAAATCTTAGAATTCCTAGAGCGCTCTTGAGGCCATGCGACATTATATTATATCCATAACAAGCAATATAAAACACATTGTCTAACAATTGCGTTTTCAGCAGGTATGAGGGGTGGTAGGACTGGTCTCGAAATATTAAGTAAGTAAAAAGTAAAGTAAAGGCCCTCCCGTTGATCGTCGATTTGCTCGAGCGGGCTCAGTAATGTCTCCATTGGAGACTTCGTTGTTACTGTGTTTGGCATATCGAATACGTCACGGGGAACTTGCCAGGCTCTGCCGTGCGGGCAAGATACTCTCGGTAGCTTGCTGGGCTCTCCGAGAGGGGCGGAGGAATCGAACTCGGGTTGGCCATGTTGGCCGCATGTAAGGCGAACGCCCTATCGAAATATTGAAGGTAACTAAAGTAGAGAAAGAATACTTTGCAAATTTTCTGCCACACAGGCAGGGGGAAGTGTGGAATGGAAGGGGAGGGGGGTAATACTGGGGATTTTGGTGGAGGAAAATGTGCACTGGTGAAGGGATGAGTGTTTGATGACAATATTATCAAAGTGCAAACATGAAACTTTTGTTACTGTACCTCACGGCGAATTAATTAAAAAAAAAATCACTCACAGGCTATACAATACAGACAAATGGGCTGTTAGCAGCCAACAAGAAGCATGCCTGTCCCATCATGTACCATGGCCAGACCACATGATTTAATGGGTTTTATATGGCCTGTAGTCCAGATGTTATCCACCCCAGCCTTAAAAAAAAAATGTGACTCGGGCCTTATATGCAGAAGACACCCAGCACCACACACACACACACACACACACACACACACACACACACACACACACCCTTCCTTTTACTCTTCTTATAGGTTATGATTTGCATATAATGTGTAAATAAATATACATCAGAGATGTAGATGTTCTTTTACAGAAGAAATTATCAAAAATATTTGAGAGTATTTCTTTAGTGTTCTTCAACTGCAACTTAAGCAGACTGTTTCATTTTTGGCTTTTGTGGCTTTTCTGGATAATATTAACTCCTTACTTTGGGAGAAGTTGATGTTTGTTCTCTTAGAACCAATAAATAAATAAAAAAATGACTTTGACAAGCACCTCTTTTCCTATGGACCTGCTTGACCCCTCTCTTCTGATCAAAGGAAGGGAACTCTGGACAAGTCCTACAACAGACACTGCTAGCTACAAGTCCAGTTTCCACTCATCTCTCTCCCTGGTCTTGCTGAGGACAGCAAATATGTTGATAACAAGAGATGC